TACTATTTTTTTGAATTAATTTTTGATTTTTTTAATTTTTATTCTCACCCTTAATATGGAATAACAAATTTATAAGTTTCTAATTTAACAAAGTCATTTTTTTGTTGTTTAAAGCATTAACATGATGAGAAATAAAGTGCAAATAAAGTTTTATGTAGTTCTGTATAGCATTATTAAAAGAGTGAATGAATAAAGAAGATGAGCATTGCATGCATTAATGTCTGTGCTTTAAATTTTAACCCATTCTAAACTCAGGCAGCCCCTACTCTCTGGAAAGGGATGCTTAAGTGAATCTAGTTGTAGCCACACGACTTTCACATAACACTATGGACAATCTCTTATTTGCCTAAATGCCCTCAATAGTCAATAGGGATGACAAGTTGACAACAAAGTATTATCTGTTTAGATCTGAAAATATGATGATTTTATCCTACAAAAAATATTTCACAAAAATAAATTTAAATCTCTACATATATATCATGACAGATTTTCACAATCTCCTGATGTGAGATCGCTTGTCAAATCTTACTAAAGTCCAAGGTTCAAGTGTGGAAAATATGAAATATCTCAAATAAGTGGTAACAGCCTCATGGGATTGAGGGATGACGCAAGGCTTAAGAAAGAAATATGCTCTCAAATTCAGGCCCCATGAAGGAGCCTTTTGAAGTAAAAAAGGGTAACAAGCAAGGATGGCTAGCTGCATTGGATCCCTTCAGGCTTTCAAGAAAACATGGAACAGAATAGTAAAAGATGGTAAATTGTTGCCATTTCACACAAATGGACCTCCTTTAACTTTTGGTAATTCTCTGCATAATTACATCATTGAACAGTTCCTTGCATTTAGACAGAAATTAAAAAGTGACCGAGGATGCTGCTAACACATGGGGAACTTCCCATGTGCAAAATCTTCAGTGACAGTTCTCAACCTTTCCTTGGCACACAAACCATAATGAATATGATCCACCAATTCCAGAATACAAATAGGTAAATCAGAAAGAAAACTACTGCAGGCCCAAACAGGTTCAAAAGAGATTTCAACTCATGAAAAATGTTGATTTTTCTTATTCAAATATGATTTTACATTAGCAGTATGATGTTAATCTGTTTAGTAGCATCATCTCCAGTTCCAAGTTCAAAACCTCCTTTGCAACTATCTGTAAAAACCAGTGACTGTGAGGTAACTCTAAGTCAGTAACCTGAAGTGGTGAAGTATGAATCATGAAATTGAATGGAGGGTTATTCAACAGCAAAGACATTTTTCTAAGGATGAGCTTTAGCATGCCACCAAGATCAACTGCCTGCATAAATTTGAATCAAACAGACTATAAGTCACTCGACTTTGAAAAGGTAGGGAAATACATGAAAAATTAGAATGCAATGCTAATCTGTTTATTATTTTGGTTATGAACAAACATCCTAACATTTTAGCACATATAGAAGCAGAAATTTCTTTTAGAAATTCTTTCAACTACTCCATCTGACAGCTCAAAATATCCCTGCTCTTGTATTCAACATCATCTCTAAAATATGAGATGCATTTCAGCTGACATTAAAACCGAATTCCTTTACCCCATTCAAATTTGTATCACTTGCGTTTATACGATCTTGTACAAGCCTACGAGTAATATGGAAAAATAGTCATGATTGTGTTGCACTCATATAACATGTCTATGTCTCCTTATAGATTCCCGATCTCCTTTGCAGGTTTAAAGGCCAAAATGGTATCATGAAACTAGTATTGCTGAAGACCAAAGCAAAGCCACTAAAAAGGCCGCTTGGTTCACTAAATACCAAGAAATAACACTCACAAAGATTCCAACAATTATTTGATGTTTAATGCCTTCTTTTCTTGTGGTTTTATTTCCATTATGAATCAGTGACAATGAGAGTTCATACAATAAATTTTCTAGCATTGTAATCTTCACCATAAGTATCAAATCGAACAATCTAAGTTATGACAGGTTAAACCATATAAGAATAATACAACTTTCAAAAAAAAAAAAAAAAACCAACTTACCTTTTCATTGTCTAGTTCATCAAGATGAGAAGAATGATATTGGGGAGTTATCCATATCTCAAAAGGAAATGAAACAGCAAATGGAGCAATTGAAATGAAATGGCTGGTTTCATTGATCAAGAGGTCCTTTGAATGAACCTCCTAAAATACATCTTCATACTGTCAAGATGAATAGAAATACTGGGAGGAACAATTGGAAGAGACAGCATCTGACTGTGACAGTAACTCATTGAAGCTCCAGCTGAAGATCCATGGTTCTTCAACACCTAAAACTGAACGAAGCGTTAAATCAAAGTCAAATGAAGTTGCACTAACAATCCACAAGCATGCCAAACTAACACAAAAAAAAAAAAAGGGAAGCTTTTCTTTCACCAAAATAAAAACGTTTTTTTTTTCCCTTACCTGAACTTGTTTGCTGGAATCAAACCCTTTAATCTGCTCAATCCTCCTCTTATAAACAATCAATCAGACTCGGATCAAAATCCGACAAATGAACCGAGTGAACCAGAGTTTCAATCACCCATCATGAAACCCAAACCCAGGTACGACCCGACTCCACCCACCAATTCGCCGCTTGATTCGCCATTTTAGCCAATTGGGTACCCGAGATTCCTGCTCAAAGCTGGATACAAGTTATCGATGACCCGGAGGTTTCAATTCGGGTCGGTCTGGACCTGGAATATCTCAGGTGCGCACGGTGCTCATTGCCGATGTAGAATGTGCACGAGGAAGAATCATGGTTACGATTTTCTGGAGATTTGGATTTGAAATCGGAGGGGCGTTAGGATTGCGCCTGAGAGATTATGACCCATAGGTAATTACCGGGTCTATTCGGAGTTCGGGGCTCCGAGTTGGTGGTAGAGTTGCCATGACCTTTGACTTCAATTTTTTTTCTTTGTCTATTTTTAATTGTAAAAATAAATAACAAAGTTGAATTTTTATCTTTAGGCCATGTTTGGTTTGTCCAATAACAAATCACTTTAAGTTTTTTCTAAAAAAATTATTATACATCATAAATAAAAAATTTAAATTATGATATTAAAATATTAAAATTTATTTTTTAAATACTTTTTACTAAGAATATACAAAAAAAATTCTTTAATTTTATTGATGAAGTTCAAAAGCTCTACCATATTATATAATTTTATTTTTTAAATTATAAAATAAATTCAACATATCAAAATAATATATGTACAAGTTGGTAATTTTTTCATATAAATTAATAACAATTCACTAACTTTATCCAATTAATGTAATTTTTAATGAAATAATACATTATGAGTTGTTAAATTTACTATTAAAATAATAATAATAATAATCAAATACATGTGAGGGAAATAAATTTCTTTTTCTTTTAACTAAACTGAGATTTCCCAAATTTAAAGTTGAAATCCAAAGGAATTTCTAGTTGGGGTTTTAATTTTTTTTTATGTACAAATATTGTTAAATTAATTAATAAATTCCACCGAAAATGATGTTATGTAACTTTAAAGAGTATATGAATATGTACCCTATCAAGTACAAATATAGGTGAAGATTTAAGGGAAAATTTCATTAATATTTCATCAAGAAAGCTACTTGTATTTTAATTTTTTAATTTTTTTAATTTTCACGTAAAAGGGATAACATTGAAAAAAAATTGCATTCCATTTGGTATTTTATGTTCTAGCATGTGATAAATGTTGATTTTATTCATTCTTTGGTTAAAATTTTGGAATAATTAATAAAGAAATGTTAAATGTGAAAAACATATTTAATAAACATTTGAAAATAAAAAGGTCATGGCTAAAGTTATATAATAGAAGGAGTAGGAGACTTGAATTTTAATGAATTTAATGAATAATAATTATCCTTTATCAAAATTAGAAACTTAATATTAACGAGTATGTAACGAGAAAGTTTTAAAAATTTAAATTTTAACACGTGTAAATTTAATATAATTTTAAATTAAATTATTTAATTATATATCATAATATATTTTTAAAATTCTCGATACTATTTTCTATTCTCTTTAATAATTTTTATGATTTCCTTGTAAATAATAAGAATCTAGTTTTTTTTATTTAATTTGTCACCATTAATATTTGTTTTACTTTTCTAATAAAAAGTTAAATTCCTTGTTTATTATTGTCAAAGACTCCTTTAGACTATTTTATAATAAAAAGCTACAATATAGTGATATTATCAATTTATTATTATTCTCAAATGGCAACTAAAGAAGAAAAAATAAAATGAGAGGTTGCCAAACCTACCCACATAGCAAAGGGGGAGTCCATGTAATTTGAATCATCCACATTGGCATTTTGGTCAATCAAAAAAACTCAAATGTCAACCATAAATTTAAATAATTATATTTTATCATAAAAATTATAACAAAAATAAGTTATATTATATTTTAAATATTATAAAGTTAGTTAGTTTGAAGAGACCTTTGTAAGTCCACAATACAAAATCCCTTTTGGCTCCTACATTGCCACATTTGCATGTCTCTTAACATACAAATTGTTTTTTATCTTTTCTTTTAGTATTATTTGCAATTAAAATAATTTATGCAAAAAAAAATAAAACCCTTACATTTATTGATATTTAAAAAATAAAATATTTTCATTTTCACTAACAATAAATTTTAAAATTTTAGGATTAATAAAATTACACGTGTCAATTATGATCTAGTAAGAAAATAATTAAATAAATGTAATATGTGACAAATTATTGTATAAGAAATTAAATTTTATTATTTAAAAATTAGACTCAAAATTCAATTTCTCAATATGTTGAAAATCATTTTTAAATTTAAAAAAGTAATTTCTATTCATGTAAATGCAAAAGATATAAAAATTTTAATTAAATACTTATAAACTTGTACTTTTGGAAAATATTTTTATAAGCATTTTCTTTAAAAAAATAAAAAAATAAAAAAATTTTCACATTTTCCTCTTCCCATGCACACAAATACAAAACAAATGTATTATTTATTAAAAATAAGAAGAAAAAAAACTTACATTTAAAAAACCAAAAAACTCTTTTTTTTCTTTTTTTAGTTTTTAGATGATTTTTATATGTCATGAACCAACAACATCAACATAGAAACACCATCATCACCAGTTACATTTCCAGACAAAAATTTTTAGTTTTTAATTATTTTTATTTTTCCTTTTTGTTTGACACTTAAAATGACCCTCACCCAAATCTCTGCCTAATAAAATTTCAGCCTCTCTATCTTCGCTTATATTTCCATTCAATCAATCTCTCAAAAAAAAAATTTTTTTCTGTCATTTTTGGCATACTTTCTATCTTTGTTTTATCCCCAATAATCCAAAGACCAAGACTGTCCTTTTGTTTCAAAGTCTTGATTTTTATTTCTGGTTTTCTATATAAGGCCCCAAAAATGAATTTTTGAACATTTCATCAAGGATCTGAGCATGACCCATCAAGTTTTTTTTTTTTTTTGGATAATTGATCTGTGAGTTGTTTTTTTTAAGCCTGTTTGATGATCGGTTTTACTTTTGATTATTTATTTTTGATGAAAAATTGAATGATCAGATTGGATGATTGTTTGGTTACTTAGAATCTGGTTTAACCCGATTGTAAAATGGAAAGTTTTTATGTAAAGTTTTGATTTTTTTTCTATCTTTTAAATCATTTTTTGGGGTATGAAATATGAATATTGTTGATTGAGCTTTGTTGTTTTGTTTCATAGATTTAATGATCTCAAAAAATTGTTGCTTTTTTTCTTTTTGTAAATTATTGACGTTTATTTTGTTTGATATTGAAATGACTGATTCTGATGATCTTTGAAGTTTGAATTTTTTGATCAAATATGAAATGAACTCACACAGATTTTTGTATGTTTTTAGCTACATTTGCTTTATGGCTAGTTAGTTCTTGGCAAAAATATATTACTTTTTGAAGGGTATTTGCTAAAATTGTCTCTTTGGTTTAACCTCTTTGAGATAGCTACTTTTGTAGATGATTATAGGAAGAATTGTTTGTTTCCTCATGTTGATAATTTACTCACTGATTGTGTTATTATTGTTTATAATTTGATATCTGGTAATGCGGTGAGAGATAAAGCTTATGTAAATCTTGGTTATTTTCGCAAGGGTATGTTAAAAAAAGTTCAATATTTAGTTATTGATTATATGAGCTTTCCAAATGTGTGGTGTCTTGCTTATGACATGTGTTTATTAGTTTCTATATTGGTAAAGTTGGTTACTTTTTCGGTTACAGAAGATCTGGAGGGGCGAGGAAATTAAGTGGAATGTGAATTGCATGGGGTGAGGATGCCAGAATTGCGAAGTGGAGCCCGAAGATCGAAACGCCTTGATGAACTTCAGCCTCCTCCTCAACCGGTTGATCAAGCACAGAATTGGGTACTGCCTGCCCAAAACAGAACCAGGAGGAGAGTTGGCGGAAGAGGGAGGGGTAATGCTGCAGCTGTAGCCAAAGGGCCCTCAACGGTGGTACCCACAAGGCCAACAGCTGCTGGTAGAGGCCGGGGCATTAGGTTGATAGATTTAGACCCTGAGCCTTGTAAGGTTCTTCCTGAGGCTGCACCTCTAGCTGCCGCTGAACCTGCTTTCAACCGAGTAGAGGTAGTGGCAGATAGACATATTGCGATGGAGGGTGGGAGTGCTGATAAAATAGTGGGAGTTGAAGAAGAAGCTAGCACAACCCCAGTGCCTGAAAGGGTAGCTCCATGTTACTTACTATATATTTCCTTTTTTGTTGAATATGTTTATTTGTTACTTAAATCTTCCATATTATGTTGCTTATTGTGGGACACCTCACTTTTGGCAAGAAAACTGGCCGAATACAATTTTTTTTTCCAGTATGCTGTCTTCAACTAAGAGCTAACTATATTACTAATGCAATTTCACAATTATTGGTTTCTTCATTTCAACATTTCAAATCGGCTTCAAACTATTTAGATAATCATTTTGATTTTGATTTTGCAAGAAAGTGAGGATGTTTTACTGCATCAAGTCACAGGTGTTTCAATATATGTTCGGTCACCTATCTTTTAATCTTCAATTTCTTACTAACTAAAACAGTCCTAGTTATTTAGGGTGTTTCAGTATATGTTTGGTCACCTGTATTTTATTCTTCAATTTCTTACTAACTAAAACATTCCTAGTTATTTACTTGTCACTTCAACGAAGCTCTGGACTGAACACTGCTTTTGTTACTTGTTGCAGGTACAAGTGGGTAATTCTCCTGCATATAAGATAGAAAGAAGATTGGGTAAGGGTGGTTTTGGTCAAGTTTATGTTGGCCGAAGGACAAGCGGTGGTACTGATAAAATTGGAGCAGATGCAATTGAGGTATGTCTGAGAAACTCATGCCCATGTTTAAGGGTTTTAGAGGTCAAACCACTTGGGATGTAATGTCGTGAGATTTTTTCATCACAGGTAGCCTTGAAGTTTGAGCACCGAAACAGTAAAGGTTGCAATTATGGTCCACCTTATGAGTGGCAAGTGTACAAGTATGGCATTTTTAATCATAAAATTTTGTGCCAAGCTTTTGTTTCTACACATTTTAGTGCAGTGTCTAAATTCTCGCTTTTTTCTTTTTAATGTCCCCACGAAATGAAAAGTACCCTAAACGGGTGCTATGGGATTCCTTCGGTGCACTACAAGGGTCGCCAGGGAGATTTCTACATTCTGGTGAGTTTTGATTTTGAGTTCCTTAGCGTCTTAACTCCCAAATTACTTAAGTATCTTAAAGAATATTAATGAATATTTCAGGTGATGGATATGCTTGGTCCTAGTCTATGGGATGTTTGGAATTCTCTAGGACAATCGTAAGAAATAGATTCCTTCTCTTTTCTCTCTGTTGTACCCACACAAGGCATGTCTACTTGTATCTACTCTATTCTTTCAGCTTTGTAACATGTTGTAGTATGATAGGATGTCATCCAATATGGCTGCCTGCATTGCAGTGGAGGCAATATCAATTCTTGAAAAGCTTCATTTAAAGGGGTAGGTCATATTTTAACTTTCTGCACTTTTTTAAATTCACCCACGTGTTTTGCATAGTTGCAACTGATTTTGATTGTTTATTGTCTGCCTGAAATAAGGTTTGTGCATGGAGATGTGAAGCCTGAGAATTTTTTACTAGGTCGACCTGGATCAGCCGATGAGAAGAGGCTATATCTTATTGATCTTGGTTTAGGTATGTTCTCCTCAATCCTCTCTTCCCTGTTAACTGTATGTCAAGCATGAGCACTTATGGTTAATTGTTATTGTTTTCTTCCTCTTCAGTGGAAGATTTCTATAAGAGATTCTAATTTTTTCTTATGTCTTTTAACTAAGATGGAATAAATGCTATTCACAAGTTGGTATTAATTACTGTCTGCCTCCCATGTTCTTGGATCAGCTTCTAGATGGAAAGATGCACATTCTGGTCAACACGTTGATTATGATCAAAGGCCTGATGTATTCAGGTGCGTAGACTTGTTTCTTTAAATATAACCCGTTACTGCTTATGCTTGGTGTTAATATCTTGGGAAATTTCTTTTGTCAGGGGAACAATTAGGTATGCTAGTGTACATGCACATTTAGGTCGGACTGGAAGTCGTAGGGATGACCTTGAGTCATTGGCCTACACATTGATATTTCTAATAAAAGGACGGTTACCATGGCAGGGTTATCAGGTTTGTTTTGTTGTTTGATTAAGGATTTACCTAATCTAATTTACTTCCTTCTTTTTAACGATTTGGCTTTTTTTCTGGAACTTCACAGGGGGATAACAAGAGTTTTCTGGTTTGCAAGAAAAAGATGAGCACTTCTCCAGAGTTGATGTGTTGCTTTGGTCCTGCTCCATTTAAGCAGTTCCTTGAAGCTGTTGCAAATATGAAGTTTGATGAGGAGCCCAATTATGCCAAGCTAATATCCTTCTTTGAAAGCCTAATTGAACCATGCACGCCATTGAGACCAATTAGAATTGACGGAGCTCTTAAGGTGGTTGTAATGTCTTTTTTGGCCATTAAATTGGATTGGATAGGATGTTCAATTAAACAGCCTTTCTCTGTTTCCTTTTGTATATATAGGTTGGCCAAAAGCGGGGAAGATTAGTCATTAATTTGGAAGAAGATGAGCAACCTAAGAAAAAAGTACGACTAGGTAGTCCCGCTACTCAGTGGATTTCTGTTTACAATGCACGTCGTCCTATGAAGCAGAGGTAAAGTTGCATTTTGTTGTTAAATTAATATTCATTTCTATTGTTTGTACATGAACTGCTCAAATATTTTGTTTCATCTCCACTCTTGTTGTTTGCAAGTATAACCGAGTGGTATGAATGATCTACATTTGCTATAAGTTATTCAGCAGTGAGTTAATCTCATCATTTCTGCATTTCTTCATCTTTGCAGTAATATCATAGCATATTTGGAGAATACTTTCATAATTGATGTCTCGCTTGTTATGATGGAACCTATATAGTGTCTGGCAAAACTTAAAAGTAAATGACAAAAGACACTTATACTCGTATTGACTGGTTGTTCAAAGTTGAATGTGGTCCATTAAAATTTGATCGCCACTCTTTGATATTTGTTTTGCGGTGCATAAATCTTTGTGTGAAATATGAGATATTCAGCCGTAAGGTTTGAAATTTCTTTTCCATAGACTTTGCTCATCTTCAGGTAGTTCTAAACCGTTGTTCATCCCACCTGTAACTTTTTATCAATCTTGTAGATATCACTACAATGTAGCAGATTTGAGATTACGTCAGCATGTAGATAAGGGTAATGAAGATGGATTGTTTATTAGTTGTGTGGCATCAGCAGCTAATCTCTGGGCCCTGATCATGGATGCGGGAACAGGCTTCTCTTCCCAGGTTTATGAATTGTCAACAGTCTTTCTGCACAAGGTTACCATTCTAAAGCACTAAGTGCTGTCATTTTTCTGCTTGCTTGACCATGCATTTTTTATTTACTCTTTACTTTAATATCAACTGGATTTTATCAGGATTGGATTATGGAGCAGTGGGAAAAGAACTACTATATTAGTTCAATAGCTGGAGCAAATAATGGAAGTTCCTTGGTTGTTATGTCAAAAGGTTGGTGATACCTACTAAATATATTTCCATTTTGATAACTTTGAAACTAGACAAAATTACATATTTAGTAGTGCCATCGAGTTTGCTGAGATCATAGTCATGCATGCTTAAATTCATATATTACAATTTAGTACGGATTCCGGAAGGTAAAGACATTTCCAATTCATGCTCTTTTTCCTGGACCTGCTGCCATGTACATTCAGAGCTTCATGAGATTAATCATATTATTCATGGGCAAATATGAGTAAGTTTACACTTTGCATGTTCACCTAGAGCTTGTATTCTTGAGTTGCAGAACTTACGTGAAAAAACTGTTCAATTAGGGCTTGTTTTCTGAGATTCTTAATATATCTAAAAAATATAAATTATATTGACCACCTAATTACTGACCTGTTATAAAAATTCTGTGTCTTTGTAGGAACTCCTTACACCCAGCAATCCTACAAAGTGAGCGAATCTTTTCCCTTTAAGTGGATAAACAAGAAGTGGAAAGAAGGTTTTCATGTAACATCAATGACGACTTCTGGGAGTCGATGGGGTGTGGTAATGTCAAGGAACTCTGGATTCTCTGATCAGGTATTCTTTTCTTTTGATCTTTACGGACATCTTCAGTTTTCCACTTCCCTCCTTTTCGAAAGTAGCTTATTATACTTCCTTTTATATTTATTTTGATGATTCAAGGTTGTGGAGCTTGACTTTTTATATCCAAGCGAAGGAATACATCGGCGATGGGAGAGTGGTTACAGAATAACATCTATGGCTGCAACCACAGATCAAGCTGCCTTCATACTGAGCATTCCAAAACGAAAAATGATGGATGAAACTCAGGAAACTCTGCGCACATCTGCCTTTCCAAGCACACATGTAAAGGTGGGTATATCTCTATCTTCGCCATGTTTGCTATCATTTAACACCTATGGCAATGCAATTCAACTTCTTTAAGCATTAGCAGTGGGTGCAAGTTGTTGCTTCTGCTTGGTTTATTCTCTTTTAATAATCTACTCTTACTGCATGCTTGAACGAGTTTTTATCTTACGTAATGTTTGCTTGCTGGTGCTGTTGTTCCTGCTGCAGGAAAAATGGGCGAAAAATCTCTACATTGCATCAATTTGTTATGGTCGGACAGTCTGCTAATTCTGGGGTGTACATTGTGGCATAGTCAAATTTTGAAAGCTTTTAAGTATTTTTGATCTTGAATTGAATGTAAAAGGGGGAAAGAAAAGAAAAGAAAAGAAAGAGAAAAAAACAAGAGAGAATTAATAGAATTTAAGAGTTTGAAGTCAAATGCCATGGGCAGCTGTTTGTTAAACCTTAAATTTCATGGTAACAAGTAGTCTTATGCTTTGAATGATCACAAATGACTGCTAGTAAATTGCAAAGTTGTTGTTTAAAGTGGGAAATGTTTCACTTTCTCTCCATCCTCTCCACAGCTCATTACTGCCATACTTGATTTGTTGAACAGATGAGCAAGATTTATGCCTGAGCCCTGACCATGGAAGGTGCTTTTCAGCCATACTACAAATTCTCCCATAGAATTATTCACTGGGAGTGCTGGAATTTTCCTGTTGCTTGATGGCAACACATTTTCTGAAACCAAGTTAAGCAATGACTATTGAATGAGTTGATTTTGGTCGACCATGTCAGCAGAGAATCACACATTTAATTTTATGATTCAATGAAATGATTAAAAAATAAATCTGGAGTTTAATTCAACTGACATATGTAATTACTCGTATTAAGAGATAATTATTGATGTAATTGAGTCAAATCAAGTCGAAATAACGAAAAATTTGAGCTCAATTTAAAATTTGTTATTTAAAATTCGGTTTGATTTCGATTGAATTTTAATTTTTAAGTTTGCGTTTATTCAATTGAACTCGTTTAATAAAAAATAAGTTCAATTTTTATATTTGATTTTAAGTTTGATTATGTATTTGAACTCGTGTTTGAGTTCGAATTAATATATATTTATACATATAAGAATAATAATTTTTAATTAAAATAATAAAAATATATTAAAATTTAAAAATTTAATTAGATTCATAAGTTATTCGAGTCAAGTATTAAGATATTTAAATTCAATTTACTCGATAAGTTAAATTATTTAAATTCAAATTTAACTCAACAATGATCAAATTAAATTTAAATTTTATTCGAATCAAATCTAAATAATTTATAAGTATTAATATATTATTTACATTCGTATAGATGATATTTAATAAATTTGAATTCAAATAGAAATGTTACAATATTTTTTATTATTTCAAATAGAAAGAAAAAATAACACTACTTAAATGAGAAGCATTTGGGTTGAGAAACCCAATACTTGGGCTTTTGAGTGGTCCAATCTAAGAACAATATTAGGCCTTAAGGCCCATTATAATTTCTATATTGGCAAAAACCAAAGGGGTAGTATAGTAATTTACTCTCCAAAGAAACTTCAAAACCCTACGTCTCTTTGTTGAAGTATATACCCTTCTAAGAAAAACCGTTGAAAGCCTCGGCTCAGAGAGGCAAAACAGAAAAAAAGAAAAAAAAAGGGAAAAACCATGCGGCCACCGAGAGGAGGTGGAGGTTTCAGGGGCGGCAGGGACGGTGGTCGAGGGAGACGAGGTGGCCGAGGAAGTTTTGGTCGCGGTGGTGGACGTGGCGGCGGTGGGTTCCGTGATGAAGGGCCTCCTGCTGAACTAGTGGGTTAGTTTTTTTTTTGTTTGGAAAGTGAAAGAAATTATAACAGAAACCATTTTTTTCTTTTTATTTATTTATGGTTTTTTCTCTATTTCATTTTGCATTATCTCCCTATTTTATTTCTTTTTGGATACTGAGAAAATGAAATTTAATTATAAAAGAAGTGATTTTGATTCAATTAAAAGCTAAAAAAAATCGTTTTTCGGTATGGGTTTTCTATATTTTCTTTAACAATTACTATTTCTTGCATTATCTCTTTATTTTCAGGTCTTTAAAGAAAAATGCCAATACGAAATAATTTTATTTACATTATATTATGATTTTTTATTAGTAAAAGATATAAACTTGACTTTCATTTTCTTTGTTATTTATGCAGAGGTATCTACATTTCTTCATGCATGTGAAGGTGATGCAGTGACAAAGCTGACCAATGAGAAAATACCCTTCTTTAATGGTAAGATCTATCTACAGAACAAGACCCAGATTGGGAAAGTTGATGAAATCTTCGGTCCCATCAATGAATCTGTGAGTTCTATTGCTAGTTCGAAGCATTTTCTGCCTAAATTTTGTACTTTATGTGAGTTTGTTTATTTACTTTTCTGCTCGATGAATCTGTGAGTTCAATTGCTAGTTTGAAGCATTGTCTGCCATTAAATTTGTACTTTATGTGAGTTTCTTTGTTTACTTTTCTGCTTGTTGCAGTATTTTTCAATCAAAATGCTGGAAGGTATTGTGGCGACTTCGTATGCCGCGGGTGATAAGTTCTATATTGACCCGAGCAAACTTTTGCCTCTTGCAAAGTTTCTTCCACAACCAAAGTATGTTTGCTGTCCTAATATTCCATGCCTGTCCCAAAATTGCTTTGTTTTGAATTATAGGATTGATGGTTGTCTCCAGGAGTTGTTTTGAGATGATATGCTCTAATATCTTTTATGCTTTGATTAATTTATAAATTTTGATTTGTCATTGGTAGTTTGCTGAAGTTTACATTTTTGGTTTGCTCCTTTTTTCCCCTGATGTTTAACATATATATATTTTTTTCGCATATGTATCGGAATGATTTATCATCATACTCAGGAGTTATCATGCATTCTGTCTATTTAGCTTGAATTTCTCCTATGATTCAGAAAAATTTTAATATCATAATGTGTAATGTTGTAGGGGACAGGCACCTGCTGGTGCAAGAGGTGGTCAAGGAGGAGGCAGAGGTGGCGGTAGAGGTGGTGGCCGTGGAGGTAGTGGATTTCGTGGAAGGGGTGCGCCAAGAGGTGGCAGAGGTGGTCCTAGGGGTGGTGGCCATGGTGGTGGATTTAGAGGCAGAGGGAGATTTTAGAGTAATAACATTTTCTAACATTACCAAGGCCCTTTCCTGCTATACCTTTTGGATACCATGGGCATACAACTTTGAAAATTTGATGCCCAACTTATTTGTGATTTTAGTTTTGTTCATTGGAGATATGTTTATTTCATATTTTTGTTTATCCAAAGTGCAATTCCTGGATTTGGTTGCTATAATTTTGAATGTGATCGATCCTAGATTGTTCTAGGTTTGACATGGTTGTAATCTGTTAATTGCTGTACATGGCCCAGGTTGGCAGAGTTGCACTGCTTGAAATTGTACAATGCTTTGATGATCAGTCATGCCTCAAATTTTGAGTAAATTCTTTGTTACTTTCTCAATGCATGCTTGATGTTCGACTGAAAAAATAGCACACTAAAGCATGATATATGGAATGTTGTTTAATTTAGATTTTTTTTGGGTTATTATGTAAAATGATTTTGAATAATATGTTTTTTCAGTTTGGTATGTAAAAAAAAAAAAAAAATGCTCACTTTAATTCTTGAACTTTTTATTTGTCAAGTACTTTGGTATTGGTATGTAAAAATTTTTAAAATTTTTTATTTAAATGCTGACGTAAAAAATAGATGATATGATAATAATTGACATTTATATCATATATCATAATTTTATTAAGTATTAATATCATTTAAGCAACTTAACTAATAATGTTGATACAGAATATCAAAGTGCTTGATAGAATAAAATTTTAGAATATCAAAGTGCTTGATAGAATAAAATTTTAGATATCAAAACGAGAATTTTATTTTTTTAAATATCAAATTAATGGAAAATATATAATATATGCATCATTTTGCATATTAACTCATTTTTTTTATACATAATAGCTAACAGCGCAGGAGTAAAGAAAGGGATTATAGATATTGAGATTTGAGATTCATTTTTCACTAGGATGTTACTTTTTAATGGTAATTATATGAATCCAACTAAAGGAAGGTTTAGATACATGTTTAACTTAGATTTGTTCTGCTGTAAATCGATTACCATTTATCATTAGGCTATTGCTTCAGCCAATAACCTTATCAGAATCAGATATTATATGCTAAGTAATAAAATTATTCTTTGGGGAACAAAGCAGGTACTCAAAGGTAGAGCTCAAGGCAGAATTCAACGGTAAGGCAACAAATATAAAATGGCTGAACTTCTTTTGAAGATCCTTACATGAACGAGATAGTGGACAAGAATCAGGGGCCTTACAGTGGCCACCATCTTTATTCAAACCAGCATAGCATCTTATGCTTCCCAACCTCTTAGAACAGTAGCCCGAGCAACACGGTTAACCCCAAGTGTAAAGGCTCCCATACGGAGGTCGCAATTGTGCGTTTGGCACATCCCTTTTACATCTTTGAATCCCTTTGTCATGTATGTCTTTAGCTCATTGTTCACCTTCTCCTCATCCCACATGAAGCCTTGAATGTTCTGCAATGGAAAATGACCAATTAGCTTTACTCTATTGTGCTTGGACTAAGATGGAATCTAAACCAGATAAATCTTTGTCTGTCCCAAAAAAATGGACGACAAATCTTTGCCTGTCCGAAAAAATCTTGGTCTGTAACATAAGCAGAAGATGTACAAATATGATACCTGCACCCATTCGAAGTAACTAACAGTCACTCCTCCTGAGTTTGCATATATGTCTGGAAGGATAACCACCCCTTTCTTTGATAAGATCTGCAGGTAAAAGAAGAGAAAGAATGAAAGTTGTTTGCCCATCTTTTTCGCTGATTGTAGTTGCAAACTTCAGACAAGAACTAACCTCATCGGCCTCTGGATCAGTCGGATGGTTTGCAGCTTCAATGATAAACTTGGCTTTAATCTCATTTGCATTTTCCCTTCATTACCATCAAAGGACAATGTTTAGTTTTATTGAACTCATTAATATAGAAAGTTCTTGAGGGCAAGCTTTGGAGCAATGAAAAGGTTGCTCCTTTGTGATCGGAACGGGTTCAAATCCTGAAAACAGCCTTTCTGCAGAAAAAAAATGCAGAGGGAAGGCTGCGTACTATGAACCCTCCCCCAACCCTCGCAAAGCGGGGAGCTTTGTGCACCGGGGTTTGTCCTTTATTAACATAGAAAGTTCTTGTTGCAGAAAAAGAAACCTGTTGACAACACCGCCAAGTGCTGCTGGGATGAGTATGTCACAGTCTTCAACCAGAACCGACTTGGGATCTATAGAATCTCCACCATGGAATCCTTTGACACCCTTGTTTTCTTTCACATGCTTGAGAAGGTTGGGAATATCAATTCCTTTGCTGTTCTTTATGGCTCCTGTGATATCACTTACTGCAACAATCTTCCCACCCTTTTCATGTATGAGTTGCGCAGCCCATGAACCAACATTTCCAAAACCCTGAAATTGAATTACTTTCATCATTTTAAGAACTGGTACTTTTAAGGGGCAAAAAAAAATACCACTAGCTGCCATCAGAGCTCCACCTGTATTACAAATTTTTGCCCAGAGATGGTCTTTCCATGCTCATTCAGAAGGGCCTCTGTCGCAAAGAGTACTCCTCTGCCAGTAGCTGCATCTCTACCAAGTGATCCTCCAAGATCCTAGAGGAAAAAGAGTGAAATTAATGAGTCAATTTGCACAAATGTCTATGCTTGAATTTAGCATAATGCAATGTGAAGTTGAATGTGATCTCTCTCTCTCTTTTGATATACTCACAGTTGGTTTTCCAGTCACTACAGCAGGTGAATAGCCATGGAATTTGGAGTACTCATCTAGTATCCATGCCATTGTCTGTTTAACCAACAGAAAATGCCATTATCAATGTCAAAGTTCACTTTTTAAATACTAGAACCAACTAGTCCATCTACAAGGACCAGCAGGAAAGGAAAATTGGTAGAACTGAGATATTTGAGGCATACTTTACCTGTGGACCTGTTCCCATATCAGGTGCTGGAACATCTGTGTGAATTCCAATCAGGTCATGTATCTTTTGGGTGAAAACTCGAGTAAGCCGTTCTAGCTCAGATGTGCTTAACTCTCTTGGATCACATCCTATCCCACCTTTAGCCCCACCATATGGGATATTGGCAACTGCAGTCTTCCATGTCATTAGTTGTGCTAAAGCATTCACTTCATCTGGGTCAACCTACATGATTCATAGGATGATCAGAATCCAAACTACATTAAAAAAAAAAAGGAGGTTTCCATTTGTCCGATAAACTTCAAGAAGGCCGACAGCTGTGTGGGTAGAGTGCTGGATTCTTAGTTCTAGTAATCAGGTTTCAAGTCCGGGCAACCCCAAATACCAAAAAAAAAAAAAACTTGAAGAAGAGAAAATGATACTATCAGGCATGTTAAGTTTGAAGTGCATATGTTCTATCTAGCAGGAGAATAACTTTCTGCTATTGTCATAGTTCAGAAGATTTCAAACAGAAGAATGTGATCAACCTCAGGGTGATATCTGATTCCTCCTTTCATGGGGCCTCTTGCATTGTCATGCTGAACCCTGAAGCCAACAAAAGATGTCAAAGTGCCATCATCTTTAGGTATGGTGCATTCAACCTGCAAAATATGTTCAAAATCAACGAGTGCAGCAGAGTAGAATAGAGTAAATCTACCAGAGACCAGCATTACTGGATAAATGAGTAGTTGATTTGGGTAATTAAAATTTCAAATCAAACTGTAGCATGCTATTGGAACATCATCTCCAAGTCCTCTTGAACCTTCATGGATTCATTTTTACTTCATTGTAAAATAAATGAGAGACAGATGGAGAACAAAGAGAAATTTAATTAATCACCTTAATTTCCCTGAAAGGAATGAGCAAACTCTTTTCAAGCTTAGAGTCCAAGCCAAGAAGCCGGGCTGCCAGCTTAAAGTTTCTGTTGGTTGCCACTAATGCATTCATTGTTGTTCTTAGCAATTAACACTTTCTGAAGAGAAAAAGAACGAAAACAAACGACTCAGAAGTCAGAAGATCAAGATATCTTTGCTTTTTGATCCAAGATGAAGAAGTTGAATCAATTTAAACCATTTCCCTTATGGACAAACATGTCTAAAAGTTGAATGTGATTCATGTGCAGGATAATGAAGTCAATACCAAGAAAAACAGACTTGTTTGTTTCTAAGGATAACAGATTAGAACTCTGCACTTGTTATATTATATCAGCATTTTACAGCTAATTCTGACATGCAAGAATTGCTGCCTAACTTCCATTATTAAATTGCAAATTGATCTTAAGATTCTGCTACATAGGCTCTGCGTTTACACTAAATCTTCATCTTCATGTCAGACCCTGATATTTTATATTGCCTCAAGAAAATTTAAACACCAGCATATTTCAAATTGTTAATAAAATTAGACCTGTCAAATTGAAGGGTAGAGGTGCAAAGGTCAAAATCCTTCCCCTTACTAAATTTACATCAGAAATTCAGTAAGATTAATGTGATATTATTTATTTATCCTTTGATTAATGTGATACACTGAGCTTTGTGTAGTTCATAAATTACTCCATCATTAATTTAATTAATTCATCACCAAGTTTTTAGCTGACAACTTCAAGAATTAGATGTAATTTTTTATTTGTCTTCAAACAGGTTTAGCCTTCACCAGACCAACCTATCCAAATCAAAACCAACTTCCAAGTTGATAACAAAGAAAAAAGATTAAAAAAAAAATAAAAATATATATATATATATATATATCAGAACACAGAAGCTATCAGAGCTCTTACCTGAGTTACTGGAATTGATCAGCACTTGAAATTTGATATCAGCTTCAAACAAAGGAGTGAAAGTGAAGCCAAAGTTCAACTCGGAATCCAAGAGTAAATAGCCAAAGACGGAATCAGAATCATATTCCTACCAAGAATCCACCAAAACAACTTATCATCAGCAAAATGCCTGAAATCCTGGAGATAGTTGGATTTATGTGCCTGTTAAAGTGGAACTATGGCCTCCTCTACTTACTGCTAATTGAGTTTAAGTTGGATTCTTAATATGATATCAGAATCAGAATTATTTTTTCGTTAAATTTTCAATATCCTGTAATTTTATATTCAAGTCGAATCTCTCCACTTATTGTCAATTAGTTTTAAATTAGATGTTTAACAGTGCCTAATCAATCAACAGTTCAACATGTCATCATTAGAATATGATGCTTTCTTTGCACCAGACAGAACCATCTTCCTCATAAAGCTCACGTTCCATCAAGTGATTTTGAAAGAAAGTTTAAGAAAATTTTTTGTCTGCTTACAGGTACAAATTGTTGGTAATCCAACGCGAACTCCATTTGCATATCAGATTTCTTGGAAAATTTTTTACAGAAATGTTATTGTTTTTCAACACATTACATGAACTTTTTCATTTGCAGTGTTCAGATAATTTGGTCAGGCCTTAGTGGGGTATTTGTAGTGGCCATGACATGGTTTTGAAAGCAGAAAAAGCTCTTTATCAGGTTTTTTAAAATCTTTGCTCAGCAAAAGGGACTGAACGTGGAGATCAATCAAAAGAAAAGGAAAAAAAATCTGATTTGACAAATTAGAGATCAAAGAGTAATTTGTCTTTTGAATTGAGGAACCTTAAGTCCATGGCAAGCTCTTGCCATCCCACTAGATGGTGTAAAAGTTGCAAAGAGTTTGTGAAAGCAGACATCCAAGCTCTTTAATATGCATAGAACAATTCAGACTTAAGCAAACCAATCTACTTTAAAACCTGTTAACTGATAATCTCTACCTTAGAAAGAAACTTTAATGGAAGACAGAAATGTGCAGTGTAAATTTATATATGCAAAAAATTATTTATAAATCAAACAAATTGAAAGTATCACCTTTAGTCAATAAATTTATAAAAGATGTCAGCAACTTGAAAAATAAGAGAATGAGTTATAGATCTTAAAATTTGAACTTGAATGTCATCTCTTAAGATGACCGTATAAAACGAATAATATCATGTTTGCAATATCACATGTAGCTTTTTCATATTTTAAATTATATTAAATGTGAAAAATCTAAAATTACAGTGTATAAATTTATCATTGTAAGAAAGAAATGGTTTGTGTAAGGTGTAGACCTACATATTTTCAACATCTATTACCAAAATTTTGTATATAATTAAGCTCAAGTATGTGATTATTATGAGAGATTGGAATATTTGCTTATGCCATTTTGTGATAAAACAATGGTGAATATTCAAAAAGCACCTAATTTCCCTTCTATTTATGGCTTCACTTGCTTCATTAAGAATAAAGACCACAATTGCCAGCAATTCAAAATTAGAATCTGGTTAACGGGTTAAGAATAATTAAATTACTATTTAAGGAAAGATTTTTGTAAAAAAAAATGTATTAATTATATAATATATATATATATATATATAAATCACTTTAGTCATTGCTATTAGGCACCCATTAACATTTTCCTTCAAATTATAAGTAAACATCATGAATTTCAGGTTTATATGCTCCATAAATGAAGTTTTAGCTTATCCCCATAAAATTAATTACCCATATTTCTTTTTTTTTTTTTAATAGGAGGGCACTGCCCTTGCAAGAAGGGACGGGAGTGAGGGGGTTAAAATCCATGTCCATATGCCTTGTTCAAAGTCTTTTAGCCACTAGATCAAAAGGTGATAGGCTCTTTTGGTTCAATCATTAAAAAAAATTAACCAAAAGATAAATTTATATCCTATGTTTTTTAGCTTAATTAAAGTATATCTTCATTATTATAATTAATCTTATATCTTTAGTTTGATAAAGTTATGAATTCATTTGATAGCATGGTGGGAGAGAATCTTACCATACCACAAGTGTATTTTATGATTGGACTCGTATATATATAATGTCAAGGTATTGTCTTAGAGTCTATTTTGGCTTTCTCTCTTTTTTTCCTTGAAGTACTTAAAGTTGATCATCCCACAAAATGTTCTCTAGAATAAAACTTCGGCCTCCAAAGGTAATTTGTGACTTCTCTCTACCTTTCTGTCTTTCATAGAAAGAAAAAAAAATATTGAACCAATGAAGATAGAGGGTCAAAAGGGAAGGATTCCACTATGTGCACTAAACCAATTCAAAGAATTGTTGTTTCCTATGAAAGAATTATTAGGAGATAAAAAGGAACATAGCAAGTGTTCCTCCACTAATGCCTACTTTTCTTCCACTCAACCCTTCATCTTTTAGCACAGTGTACAAATCATCAAAAGGTTAATTTCAATAATATTACTTAACAAGCATGAATATTGAGGTACATTTTATATTTCATACATATTTATTATCATAATCATACGGGTTAGGAGGATTTTTTTACATACAAGATGGCGTAATTTGAGAAAAAAGAAAAATATTGTAATAGTTAGAATTTAAATCTCGAATTTATTGAATATCATTTCTTAAAAAATATAATTTACTGTAAAAACTTGATTGGATTGTGTCAATGATGCATCTATAAACCTTACCAATCTATTAACAATAGATATATGCTGGGAGAATTAGTAATGTGTCAAGAAAATTTGGTACAAAAAGCTGTGGATACACTTCTTGATAATGGAATTCATGGACAATCAATAAGGGATGGTCATAATAAGGTTTATAAGTTGTTTTCAGAGTTTACTAAAGGCAAAGAGGGAACATTTCGTGAAACTTGCTTGGCAAACGAGTTCATTATTTGGGATGTTTTGTCATTGTTGTTAGTCCCTCACTTTCATTACATTGCCGTAAATTGTCTCGTGAAATAGCGATAAAACTTTTTCAGACATTTGTAATTCGCAATCTAATTAGACAACATCTTACTTCGAACATAGGAATTGCTAAAAGTAATATTCAAAAATTTTGGATCCCACCAAATTGGATCCCTAAACCTTGTTTGCTAAAGTTTTTCCATACTTAACAATGATCTAGCTACGTTTGTAAATGTAATGCATGAATATACAAATTTTCAAAGAGAATTGAGTTTTCAAATAATGTAAATTCATTTTTTTTCCTTGAAAAATTTTCCATATATAATTGTATTCTAAACTTCACAATTGATAAAAGTTGATATCACAATTTGAGCTCCCATCTTCTCGGGTGATGTTTTCTAATTGCCTAATTTGTTCTTCATAGACCTAGATAATAAGTCAAGAGATCTACTCAAACAAGTTCATGGAATAAAGTTGTCCTATACCCACAATTCATATAGGGTGCTCTTTTCCTTTTTTTTTTTGCCTTTCAATAATGTCAACTAAAACCCAAATGAGAATCTCAACTTTCAATATTAAAACTGATTCCAATATCATTAAACTAACAACTCATTAGTCGAAAATCAATGTTTATTATGATTTGGTAGCTTTAGAAAGAAAAAACATTAAGTAAACATCAATGGGGGCCAAGATGATGTAATATATATATATATATATATATTCGTCAGTAAAAAGTTAAATCTCCATTTTTTTATGGATAAAGCTAAATCTTCATCTAAAACTCAAATCCTAACATTTTAATATTTAATAGTTTTAGCTTGAATTATGTTGATGGTATTTTTGGGTGTCTTAGCTAAAAGGAAAGAGCAAAGGTGGAAAGGAAGGACAACTTTAACCTACAATCAAAAAATACGGTCAAGAAGCATCGAAGTTGTTGCTTCTTGACATGTTCTAACGCTTAAATCAATATGATGCCTAAGGAAGTGTTAGGAAGCAAGGAGGATGAAAATGGTAAAATGTACGAAAGAAGTTTCAATGGAAGAAAAGTTACAAAGTGTTAGGTCTAATTCTGTATTACTTGAGTACCTGGTTTTCCACTTACCTTTAAATGAGATCAAGAGTGATGACATGATTAAGACAGTTGACAGTTAATAAAATATTTGTGTGAAGCTCGAGAAAATCCACTTAAATAGATATGAATTGTAGTTAATGATTTTAAGCATAAACTGTATTTAATGATCTTAGGGAGAAGTAAAATGCCAGTGATTAGTTTTGAAATGATTGATTTGATAAATTATTGGTGAGGCCTTAGGTGAGTTTAGGGATGACAATTTAAACCGTGCTTGACGGGTTTTAACTCGACCCAACCTTTTAAGGTTTTTTTTTTTTTTTTAAATTAGATTTCGAATTGAATCAAATTGAATAATTGTAAAATAAAGTCAGGATCAAGTTTTAAACAAACCTGTCTCAACCAAATTTGATATATATAATTATTTTTAATTATTTATTTAATTTTATATTTATATTTTTATATGTATTTAATTTTATATTTATATTAAAAATAATATTTTATTAATTTCGAGTTAAGTACGATTTTATATAATATCGAATCATATTAGGTTCAAGTATAACAAAATAAAAAAAATCTTTAAATTGGGGTCGAGTTCGGGTGTTATAAATATAAAATCGAGTCAAGTTCAAGACGAGTAAAAATTCGTCTCGATCTAATCCGTTGTCATCCTTAAATAAGTCATTCTTTTAGTGAAGAACGAGCCATCACCTAGAGTAAGTTACTTAATTGTTTAGGTGTGCTTCGCCTGGACAATCCAAAAATCTAATTGTATTGACCAAATTTTTACAGTTAACCAATTGACTTAAGTAACAAATTATCAAGCTAGTAATGCAAATTTGTAACAATTATTAAAAGGAAAAAAAATCCAAAGAACAAAAGTTTGCAGTTTGGGACAATTTTGTGGACTTTCTTACCTTTTATTGGATATCTACACAAGCCCAAAAAATTGAGTCTTAGCCCTAAATGAAAGGGTGGAGCCAGTAGGGATTAATGCATTGGGTTTGCTATTGGTGAGCCCAATCTTATAGAATTGGGCTCGTTTTGTCCAATAAGGCAACATTTCTTGTGGGCTGTGGCCGCCTACTGGTTTGGATTTTGTTCTGTTCAGCAAAGTTTCTGAATAAGAGCTAGCAACGAGACAAATAAACACAATTGGGCCAATCAAACTTATTTTTCCATTTCAACTAAAAAAAAAAGCATGAACTTGAACGTAGTTTCTCTCTTAATCGCTTGATTTATATGATATTTTAAAGAGGTAACATTTAATAATTTTAAAATTGTAACTCTTATCCTTATTTTTAAATTATGGGTTTTTTAATGAAAGTATTAGTTTATCTTTTGCTATATGCTTACAGATATTCTTCCAAAACATAAAATCACAACTAAGGATAAAAAAAAAAATCAAGAAATTTGCAAATTGATTTAAAATTATAGTATTCGATTCAATTTGAATTGATTTTTTTTATTTAGTTTGAATCAAATTTAAATATTAAATGTATATATTAAATTTAGATCAGATTTCAAATCGTAAGGTAAAACATAAAAAAAAAATGAATTGAATTATATGTTTTTCTTAGTTTCCATATATATTTTAAATTTTTATAAAATAAAATAGTAATTTTTTATCAAATTTTACTTAAATATATTAAAATTTTATATTAAAATAATATATAAAAATTAAAAACTAATAAATCAAACTGAACAAATAAAATTTGATTTGATCAAATAAATGTTCGATTTGAATTCATATCAAATTTTAAATTTTCATAATATTATATAATATAAAAAAAATTAAACTAAATCTTATCCGAATCAAATTGTTATCACTCATAATCACAAACATTGTAAAAGAAATTCCTACCTTACTAAAATAACACAGCATTATAAAAGAACCATTAAACAAAAAAAGATACATGAAAAGCAAAAATCTCTTACGGATTATTTTTTATATAAGGGTGTATGAATTATTTTTAAATAATAATTTAGAATATGATCAAACTAATAATAATAATAATAATAATAATAGTACAATTCTTAAAAAGAATTGATTGAGAGAATCCCAATCAGAATAATAATAAGGGATTAGGCAAATGGTTAAAATTTAGATTTTAAATATAAAATATTTAAATTCAAATTTTATGATTTTTTGTTAATAAATTGTTTGTAAGTTCGAATTTTAAAATATAAAATATTTTTTAAAATATAAAATATAAAATTATTAATTATATATAAATAAAAATTTTAAAATAAATTTTAATATAATATCAAGTCGGATCATATTTATCTAAAATCTTAATCCGATCCGAACCCGATCTTTTCTTAATAATACTCAATCCGATTAGACTCAAAATCTGAATTTAAAAAAAAAAAATCGATCTTATATGATCGGATCGGATCGAAATCCGTCAGACTTGGATTAGACTACCAACCCTAGGTATATATTTTAAAAAATTTTAAAAAATAAATTTAAAAAATGAGACATAAATCATCATTTTAATTCAGTTTATAAAATTAAAAAATTTTACTATTAATATAGTATTAAATAATTTTTTATATCAATTTGAAGCTTGATATACATGTATAAAAGTAAGAATAAATAAAATAATAAAATTAACGTATTTTTTAATTTCTCATTAAACAACAATTCAAATCACCTCAAAAACCCAAAAAAAAAAAGTCGACATTCAATTAAATAATAAAAAAATAATGATCAATTTTATCCAAAAATACCAAAAGATAAAAAAAATGAATAATTACATATCTCTGTAAAAGCTTCGAAATAACAATGAAGACCCAAAAATAAAAACTTCAAAATACAACTTTAAACACACCTATCAAACTCAAAGACATCTGCCGAACATAAAACAGCATAAAAAATACTTTGTAAGAAGTGAAAAAACTTTTTTGCTCTATGCTTACAGTTGTTCTTCCAAAACATAAAGCCATAACTAAGGATGAAAAAAATCGAAAAATTTGAAAATCGATTTGAAATTATAATGTTTGATTCAAGTCAGATCAATTTTTTTTATTCAATTTGAATCAAATTTGAATATTAAATGTACATATTAAGTTTGATTCGGATTTTATATATCAAGTTAAAAAAAATCGAATTAAACTAAATTATATATTTTTTTAATATTTATATATATTTTAAAATTTTATAAAATAAAAATAATAAATCAAAACTTACTTAAATAATTAAAAACAAATAAATTAAATCGAATAGGTAAAATTTGATTTAAATCAAATGAATATTTAATTTAAATTCAAATCAAATTTTAAAAATTTATAATATTATATAATATTTTAAAAAAATTAAATCGAATCTAATCTGAATTAAATCATAATCACCTCTAATCATAGCATTGTAAAAGAAACCCTTACCTTACTAGAATGACACAGCATTGTAAAATAATTATTAATATATATATATATATATATATATATATATATGGAAATCAAAGATCCCTTACAGGATTTTTTTGTATAAGAGTTTATGGATTAGTTTTAAACAATAAGTAAGAATATGATCAACCTAAAAATAATAATAATAATAATAATAATAATAATAGTAGTAGTAAAATTCCTAAGTTGTTTAAAAGAATTGATTGAAGAATCCCAGTGAGAATAATAATAATAAGGGATTAGGCATATGGTTAAAGTTTAGGTTATAAATATAAAATATTCAAATTTGAATTTTATGATTTTTTGTTAGTAAATTATTTGTAAGTTAAAAACGTTTTAAAATATTTGTAAATTTTTTATTGATTAACAATTTATTTTAATTTAAAAATGGAATAAATTTTTTATATAAAATAATTCTCAGTGAGAACAATAAAAATAATAATAAAAGGTCAGATTCCCACATTGAATCTGAACTGAGAGTTTACAAATTAAGATTACACTAAATTCTTGGTCCCATCAAAATTGACAATTCAAAGGAACTTTTCAATTTGACTAAAACCGAAAAAAAAAAAAAGTCTTCCATTGGCATAGATACATGCAATATTGAAGGCATAGGCGTCTAGATTCATTTTTTTACTTTTCTCGTGAGAATTTAATTTTTAAAAAATAATTATAATTAAATTTTATTTTTAAAAATAATTATATGAATTAATTTAATTAAATTTATTTAAAAATTCATATTTTCCACATTTATTTATAAATTTTCTCTCATTTTCCTTTTAAAACTTTCTCCCTATGAAAATTTCCACTAGCTAAACACATTTTAGTTCATTTACTATCAATTATTTTCACTAATAATTTTTTTTTGGTTATTTTGAGAATTAATGAAAACCCATAAAAATATTTAAAAAATCAAATTTTTTCCAATAAAATTAACTGATTCCCTTTCTTCTTTCCTATGTCTATGCCGTCTTCAGCTCCAGCCATCCTTTTCCGGTTTCACAAGAAAACGCTGTTTCTCTCTCTCTTTTGTTTCTTTCAACTTTACGTCTAAAAAAAAAAGCAAACTTGTAAACATTTCAACTTTCAGCAGGCTTCATTCTTTCTCTGTCAGGTACCTGCCAATCTCTTTAGCTCTTACTTTCATGTGATGGGTAGTTCTGAATTACAAGAAAAACAGTGAAAAATGTGATAAAAATATGTTCTTTTTGGGTCTACATGGATGCATATGTGTATATGATGAAGCATTTTGTTTGGGTTTTTGCAAAATTCTTTACCTTTTTTGTTTTTGAAGTCATTTGGGGTTTTAATTTGTTCAAAGTCTTTGACATGTTTAAGGGTTGAAATGGTTAGTTTTATTTTGATCATTTTATAGATAAAAAATGCATTTTATGTGGTTTTATTTTGCCAGTTTCATTAACTGATTAATGGTGGAGATTTCCTGTCCTCATTATGATGTGTAGGATAAAAGAATTAAGAAAAAATAAACATGTTTTTATCAATTTGAAACATATTTTAGAGGATGCCAAATACAGACTAGAAAAATGTGAATGAAAAAAAAATCAGCTGTTATGTATCATTCAGCAGCTTGATTTTCAAAAAATGAAATACAAAATTTTATGAATTTGTTGGACTATTTCAGTTTTGATTTTAGGCTTCTGTAATTAACATATACAATGGGCACATTAAACCTCTCATACTATTTCCAAGTGGCTTAATGTTGTTCAATATTTGATTATCTGGTTGCTGTTACCAAGTCTGGGTTTACTTGTATCGTTAGAGAATCAAAGACTAGGGAACTTAAGATGTCGACAATGGGAAATTCAACAAATATATTTTGGCAAGAATTACCAGTTGGGAAGCTTGAAAGGCAGAAGCTCCTTAACCAGAAGGGCTGTGTTGTATGGATCACGGGTCTCAGTGGATCAGGTTTAAAGTCAAATGGACTTTCCTATGTACTTATATTTTTTCTTCTGAATTACAATTATCCTTCCTGGAAAATTAAAACGTTTTAGCAGCTTGAGTTGCTTCCTCCTGGCTTTGAATTTGAAAGTTCTTCTCTGATTGGATTATCATGTTCAGGTAAAAGCACACTTGCATGTTCACTAAGTTGGGAACTGCATACAAGGGGAAAGCTATCTTACATACTTGATGGGGACAACCTTCGGCATGGATTAAACAAGGATCTTGGTTTCAAGGCAGAAGATCGAACAGAAAATATACGCAGGGTTGGTAAGTACAATTTGAGAAATAGAAGTCTCTAGAGTTGAGAGTTTGGTGGGTGTAAATAATTGTGTTTGTCAAGCAAGACATCTAATATATGGCTGCAAATCTTGGTGCAAGTTTGGCAAACTACATGAACTTATCACTGTGTATATTTTAATTGTAACGAGTGAAGATGACATCATGAAGTTTGTACATACTAACTATTAAACATTGTACCATTACCATTACCATTACTTAGATAACTGTGCATATGCAAATGATTGTTATGACTAGATGGCTTACAGGAGTTCAGCTTTTGTTTTGCTAGAGCCCAAGGTGTGGTTAGGGCATCGTTCTTCTGTGATATATTTGATTTGAGCTGTTTCTAACGTTTTCTGCATCTAATTTAGGTGAAGTGGCAAAGCTCTTTGCAGATGCTGGTTTAATCTGCATTGCCAGTCTAATATCTCCGTACAGGAAAGACCGTAATGCATGCCGTGCAATGTTGCCAGATGCTAATTTTATAGAGGCAAGGCTCCTTTTGAATGGTTCTCATCTTGATTCCTTTCATCTTTTTTACTGAAGTCGAAATGCCCTTTTCCTCATACATGCAGGTTTTCATGAACATGCCACTGGAATTGTGTGAAGAGAGAGATTCAAAAGGTCTTTACAAGCTTGCACGTGCTGGAAAGATTAAAGGTGTGCTCAGTTGCCTTCATACATTCATTGACAGAAGTTGCCTCTTTGTTCCCCCTTACTTTTATGAACAACGTATACATATTGTCACATAAAATTCATTCTGAATTTTTTTGTTCTTTTTTAATGGGTGAAATGCCTAAAGATAACCTCTATGTTTGAATAGGTGCATGCATTGGAGATCTTTTGAGACAAATTTTCTTTGTCTGATATCCTTTATATTTTTCTTTTCCTAATTGTGTCATTTGTGTTTGCACTCAAGATCTTTACTCTACTTCCCCATGCACAAAAAGAGTTTTGACTTTGAAACATTTAACTTTTTAACACATAATGATAATTTAATTATTTTACCTTTGGTTAATAAAGCAACTGGACTAATAGTGTTATGTTTGTAGGTTTTACTGGCATAGATGATCCTTACGAACAGCCACTGAACTGTGAGGTAAGCGTTTAGTTGAATATGGAAACTGTTAATGGTGACATTGAATTCTGAGCCAAATACTGGTATTTTTCTACAAATCTTGAAATGAATTATCATTTTGCTTCTTTCCAGATAGAAATAAATCAGAAAGATGGAATTTGCCCCACACCGGGTGCCATGGCAGGGGAAGTGGTTTCTTACTTGGAGGAGAAAGGGTATCTGCAAGATTAGTGACTAACTCTCTGTTGACATAGTCAAGTGTTCTCGAAGGCGATCATATTTAAAACTTTACTCTTTGGATCCAATTTTCTTGCTGCAACACCACTTGCTCAGATGGTGGTTAGTTAGTTCTAATTACATCATCTAGTAGTTTGAAATGAGTATTCTTTTGTCCAAGTAATTGTTATTTTTGAGTGACAGGGTTTCGAGTTATGGGCACATCCGGTCATTAACAATCATTATTTTACTGGAAATTCCAGATTCTGGTCCTCGAATTTGTTACTTATATTCTGGATATATGTTAATGAACACCACCTGTGCCTCAGATTGAATTTTTTTATAATATAATTACGGTATATTCTACTCCGAAAGGCAAGTGCATTTGGTGCACTTCTTCACTGGAGGTGAAAGCTTTTCTAGGTATTGCCCTGGTTATACAATGTCATGGAATGGAATTACCACGATGTTTAAGCATGGTAGCAAAGTAGTCCTGGCTGGCTTAAACTCCTGAGTGGTGCATTCAGGGTTGGTCCTGAAAAATGTGGTATGCATCTTCAGGTCCGAGCTGTGTGGATTGCACGCTGCGGAATTTGGTAAGCTGTTAACGGCAAAGTGCCTGTGAGCAGCATGTGTTAGCCCCAACAAATACACCTTAGGTCATAAGCCATGGCTGATGCAAGTCTGCATAATCTTGAATAACTCTAGGTTTCAATTTTATTCACATTTCATTCTGTTACAAGGTGCAGCCTGAAGACTGAACCAATTACAAATGGTAACAGCTATGAGCTAACCCTAACTGAATTAAACTGACTTCGAACTTTGAATGATCCTTATTTATTATGATTATATTAAGTAAAATTATTACTAAAAGGCAAGATATTTATATATATATATATATATATATATATATAAAGTTGAAGAAGACAATTAAATTAAAACGGACCGTTTTTGTTATTCATGAACAGCAAGGCACCAACGACAAGAAGGATAATATTTATGAACTTTACTATATTCCTATGCCTAAACGACTAACGACCCAACCTTAACCTGCTTCTGACGACGCCGTATTCTCCGGAGACGGAACCATCCAGAAATGAGCTTCACGCCTCAGCTCCATCTCGACTTTCCGGCCTCCGTTGTCCAACCTCCAACCATAAGCGATTTCACAAAACGACGTTGCAGAGCTCTACGAAGGATCGACAGAGAGCTCTCGAGACGCAACTTCAAAGCCGCTCTCTCTCTCCTCAGACACCTTCGACGCCAACCCGATGGCCTCCGCGCCTTTGGCACCGCCAAACAGGTCAAATAAATAAATAACTAAATATTTTTTTAAATTTCAAATTATTTATAATTTAGCCAGAAAATTACAATCATTTCTCTCTTCTAATTTTTTTTTCAATTAGGTACCTAAGAAGCTGTCATCATTGGACGAATTGATAATCAACGGTGTGGATTTATCTTATCTTAAACCAACGGTTGATCTGGTAACGGATTCAATAAAAAGCTGCATGCAATGCTCTTTACAAGAACAGGTTTCAAGTGAAGGGTTTGAAACAGATTTGAGTGATGAAATCAAAGAGTCTTCCTATTCCTACGAAGATTACCATTTTTTGTGTATACATGTAAGAGTAACCAATTCATTTTTTCTGTTTAAAGCTTAATTATTTTGAAATAACCGCGAATGAAACTAAAATATGATATGCATTAAGAAGAATTTGTAACATTGAAAAGGTGAAATAAGTATAATCAGACTTATAATTTGGAACAGATTGATGGCTGATGAGTTGAAATGGTGTATATGTGTAGCATGAAGCTGGTCATTTTCTAATTGGTTATTTGCTGGGGATTCTTCCAAAAGGATATAAAATTCCAAGCATGACGGAGTTTTGGAAGGGTAGATTTGCTGCTGGAAGTGTAGACTTCGCAGGTTTTGATTCTCTTGAAGTAAGAATATTGTTTCATTAGTTTGCATTGCCCTATTTGCTTTGATGCCTACTCTATTATTCAATTATATGTTATGATAGTTATGCTAAGATAATTTTTAGTACTATTATTTTTTTCTGAATTATGTATCTCTACAACCTTGCAGTCTGGTGTTCACGGAATTTCAAACAAGGTGAGAAACTCTCTTTTGCTCTAGTTTGTTATAAGCATTGGATAGCTCCCCATTATTGCCACTGTACTTGTTTGAGGCAAAACCGCAATAGAAACCAGATAATGGATATGATAGCTAGAATAGTAGAGATGGGGCAACTTCTCCTGTTACTAACAAAAACAATTTACTCTAACAGGAATAAGTTCTGTTAATCTGTTTTTTGTACTGCTTTTTCTTTATAATACTATCATATATAGGTGATGACTAAGGACAATGTGTTCTCTAACTCTATGGTGCATAGAATTTGGTTTATTTGCAGTACTTTGACTTCCAACAGATCATTGAAGGTGAGAGAAGAAATGCGGGAAGAGAGGAACATCATGCATGCTAACCTTGACACTTCATAAGAGTCAAGTTTTTGTTCATATTGTTCCCATTCCCAAGTAATAGCCTCATAGGTATAGTCAAACAGAGTGCATCCTATAAACCCAAGCACACACATGCATTGGACAAACTCTATTAATCAGATGAAGGGCATGGCTTACATTTGGTTCTTCCTGATGTTATGCTGTGCAGACTCTGAACAACTTTTCATGCGTAGTCTTAGGAGGCTTGGTAGCTGAGCAACTACAATTTGGATGCATAGAGGGACTTCATTCTGATGTTGACAAGGTACATTCTATTGCTCAAATGATGTTACCATGGGTTATTTTCAGATTAGTGAATTCTGATTGCTGACACTTCCCATTAATGGAAGCAGCTGGATAAAGTACTCAGATGGTTGGGTTACTCAGGAAGTCAAGTAGATGATCAAGTTAGATGGGCTGCATTGAATACTGTTTCAATCTTGCACCGTCATAATGAAACTAGATCAAGACTGGCAGAGGCAATGGCATTGGGGAGATCAATTGGCCAATGTATCGACACAATAGAGAAATCTGTAGTTGGGAAGGAAATCTAGATGGTTTGTTGAGTCCGGAGTCCCCCCATCTCTGTAACAGTTCCCTTAAACTACTGCCCCACGCAAATGATGCTGTCTTCTGTCCTTAAATGTACAAATGGTAGGCACGTTGGCTATGATTACAACCTCTAATGTAACTTGAAATCTTAGCTAGTTCTGCTTTACATTTGAGTCATTTGAGCAGGTTCCAATGAGCAATACATGAAGATTTCTAGACATTTCAATCTGCAAACCCAAATATTGGCCCATTCTTGCTTGAAACATGGAAATTAATCAGCTTTTGTACTACAAAAACCAGAGCAGAAAAACAGAACCAAGTAAATTTACATAAGTAGCTCTATATATAACTGCTTTGTTCAAAAGACAACATTGTTCATAACCCAAAAAAAATCCTATATCCTACAACTGTTATAGAAAAAACCCCAAGAAAAAAGAAGACTAAGAAAAGGGCCTAAAACTCCTGAGAGGCTGATCCAATATCACCCTTGCCCTTTCCCATTTTCTTGGGGAGAAGATTCTGGTGAATGTTGGGTAAAACACCTCCATTTGCAATAGTGACCGAACCCAAAAGCTTGCTTAACTCCTCATCGTTCCTCACTGCCAACTGGATGTGTCTTGGAGCTATTCGATTTTTTTTGTTGTCTCTCGCTGCGTTTCCAGCAAGCTCTAGGACCTGATTAGGCTTAGACAAAAAACGATTAGAAATTAAAGAAAAATGAGACCTTGACTCAATAACATACAATCAAATGAACTCACCTCAGCAGCGAGGTACTCAAGCACGGCGGAGAGATAGACGGGGGCTCCAGCACCGACACGCTCGGCATATTTCCCAGCTTTCAAGAACCTGGCGATCCTCCCCACCGGAAACTGGAGCCCAGCCTTCTGCGACCTCGACACCGACTTCGATGCCTTCGGCTTCCCTCTCCCTCCTTTCGTTGATCCTCCTGTGGAACTCATCTTTCAAAATCCCTAACCCTAACCCTAACTCTCAATTTTGCTGTGAAAGCGGCAATCGCGAATTGTAAAAGCGGAGGTTCAAATTTAATAGGGGTGTTTGAGAAGAGTGCCTTGCGGGGAGTTATATGCAGAGCTTTGTAGAATTTGATTGGTGGATTGGTGGCCCGCGAGGATTGCCAACGTGGAACGAAATTTTCGGTTTTCGCGGGAATTCCATTTTATTTTTTCTTTGTAGGTTTTTTGGTTCTTATAGGGTACTTGTCTTGTATCAGTTTCAAACGACGTCGGATGCCAAAGGAGCCTATGGCCCAATTCAGGCCATCTAAAAGAAGCCCAAAGATATTCATAGCTAGCTTTTGCCCAAATCTAAATCTTGTTGTTTGGGCTTTTAAAAAGCCTAAAATATAAATCAAGAGATGGGTCATGAAAATAACATTTTCTTTTCCTAATGTTAGGGTTATTATTTCACAAGATTAGACAATTAGATGAAATTTTTTATTCGAAAAGATTAGATAAAAATGATAAATTGAAAAATATTATTATACAGATCAAGTGAACAAATTTGAAAAAAATATTAATAAATTTTGATATATTTTTTAGTATAAATTTTGATAAAAATTTTACTATTTAATAAGTTTCGATTAAATTTCAATTATAAATGATATTTTTAATTTTTTTTATATATTATTAGTTTTCGTATTAAAATGTATCAATTTATTAATTTTTTTTCATTAAATTATTTTAAGAATACGCTTCACAAACTTTAGTTAAAAAATTTCACCTAAGGTTTATTAAAAATATTGACATGTGTTTTTTTTTATTACTTTATAATTTCTTTTAAATATATTCTAATAGAGTATATAAGAACTTTTAATTCTGCTTTAGATGATGCATTAAATAATTTTATCTTATGATGTAGACTAATTATAAACAATCTTTCATATATTTTGACATATAAGGAACATGAGTTTGTTTAACAGAGAAAAATATTATGTTTTTTTTTTACAAAAAAAGTCGTAACTCAATAATAAGGAAAATAGGTTACAATTATTGAGATTTAAATCACAAATTTGTTGATGTTGAATGCCATATCTTAAAAATAATTATTTGAATCATTTGAATTAAGATACGAATTAAATAAATTATGTTCTTTTACTATATATCTTGTAGACATAACAAAATAATCATTTATTAGACAATAACTCTTTTATTTTTCAATTACATTTGAAAAAGTTTTATGCAAAAAAAAAAAAAAATCAACCTTATATCTTATTCTATCACCTAAGAATTTCATTCAATTACTTTCCATATATAAACTTCAAAATGTGATACGATTGTAATGAAAGATAAGATAGCAATATAGAGTTCTCTTTTTCTAATAGAAGGAAGTTGAGTCTTAACATAAGAATTTCGATCAAAGCTTGAATGTTATATAATGTTTACCGGCATTACTCTAATATGTAGTTGAAAGAAAATTTTTTCGGTATTTGAAGTTAACAAAATTTGATCGTTATTAAAATTAAAAATTTAATATTTTATTAACAGATAATGTAATTATTCAAAAATTATTGATCCTCAACTTTCAAGAGAAACCATGCATTTATTTATAGCCTCAAAAGGTAAATAGAACTCCTTAGCCAATTTTTTGTAGATATACAAATTTGTTTACTTTGTATTTTCTTTTTTTTTTTTTTATTTCGTTGAAATAACTTAATTTTCTTTGTATTTTACCACTTAGATCTATTAAAATTAATGATTAAAAAAATTGTAAAACTTTTTAATTTTACATAGATATAAGTAGATTGCTCCTTATATTTTAATAAGAAATTTGACACATAAGATAATTTTATTTTTATGTTATTTATCAATTAAATAATACATTTAAAATAATTATCAATTATCTAATTATTTATTATATTTTAAATTAAATGTTGATCTAATTTAATAAATTGAAAAATAAATAAATATTTTAAACTAAAAAAAAAAAACAATTAGGGTTGTGACTTAAGCCAAGAAATAAATAAATCCTAAATGAAAATAAATTAGCCCAATTGATCAAATTTGGCCTAATTCAAAGCAATGGGTCCAAAGTAACCATTCTTTGTAATTGTGAGCCAAAAGTTGTTTTTTTTTTCTCTCTTTATATTGTAAATCAAATCATTTTATCATTTGAAAATAATTATAAAATTAAGCGATATATTAATATTTTTAATGATAAAAAATTAATAAAATTAATGATTTGATTAAAATTATTAAGTTAAAATAATATAAAAATTAAATTTATATAAATTATAATTTCAAAATTAAATTTCAAAATTTAACAAAGAAGAAAAGTTTCTAACATATTTTGACAGTTGGAGAAAGATGTAAACTATTCATAAGTACTCAAACGTACTTGTTCATGCAAAAGACAAGGGTACTTTTCTTCTATCTTTTGGAAAATATAAACACCCCCTTTGATTCCTTCTTCCTTTGGCATCCACATGATGGAGATAAGATAATTGTCCTAGGGATTGGTCATACGGGGCATTATAGATTATCTCACAATAGGACCACATTTAAAAAAAAAAAATTTATAGGATGATAAGGGAGAATCCCAAATGCTAAAGGGTTTTTACAGGTATTCATACTTAATTTATAAAGTATTTTTTATTTTGATTTAAAAAATTTATAATTTTATTTTATAAAAAATATTTTTTAAATTTAAATTTAAAATTTACTTATATATTATAATATATTTATATGTTCTTTCAATATGAGATTACGAGCATAATAATCTTTTGAATTTTAAAGTTTGACGTTCCTTTCAATCCTCATTTAACTACATAATCAATATCACACCAAAGCTAAGTTCAATTATATGACTAATATCACACTAGATATTAGATTTTATAAGTGATTTCTTATTGCATAGCATTTCGTGTAAAATTTAGTTTCTGCCGACTGATAAATTGTTTCTAATACTATTTATGGAGTCATACATTCAACTTATAAGATTTTATCCGTTTTTAATTCAAATGTTTTATAATTTTATCACATAAAAAATATCTTACAAATTTAAATTTAAATTTATGTACAAATATATCATATCATATCTATACATTATTTTAATACGAAACTTGCGGCGTCAAATTTTTTTGTTTAAAGCGCTTTATAAAATTTCTATTATAATTTTATAATTAGTCAATTGTAATTTCATGATTTAAAAATATAAATTTTACATAATTTTTGTATAAAACTTATAAAATATTGAATTTTAATTAATTATATCATAATAATTATAAGTGATATATTATCTTTTAATTTGAAAGTGTTTTTATAGTTTTTTATTTTTTTAAATTACACTCATAATTAACTATTACATCAATATAATTAATTGAATAATTAATTATTATATTATAATTAACTAATAAATTATAACTTAACTAATAATCAAATCCATATACAATAAAACTTGAATATAAAATCTCAAAATTCTAAGACTTCCTTCGAGAAAAAAATTTTGTTGATCATAATATAGATAATTAAATTATTCATAAGTAATTCAAATTTGATTTAATGTTTAAAATGTTATAATTATTCACATAAAATAATTATATTAATTTACAATAATCTTGAGAGCAACTTGAAAATGATTGTGTCTGAGCTAAGTTATCATGATCATGTAAAAATGTTTAAAAAAAAAAAAAAAAATTTTAACTTTTAATTTAAAAACTTGGTTTTGTAACCTAAACTAAAAGCTTCTCGAGATATTTTTATGAATAAATTTTTCTTCAAAATAAAAAATCAATATTTTATCATATGTTTTTTAATATTTTAATTATTTATAGTTTTTTTTTATAACAATACAAAGACACTTAAAATTTTTAATCATAATTTTCTTATTATATTTTTTAAACATATTTTTTTTGGCTGCAACAACAATACTAAATTAGCTATTATTGCACCCAATAACAAATCATAGACCATCTATGACAAAAAGTTCGACCCATGAAAACGACAAAAGCTATAAATCGAAACGGTACCTATCCATCTTTTTCCCGTAATAGTGGCATTTTCGTTGTTTTCATGTCTAAACTAGGGGTAAAATGTCATTTCAAAGCTTCCCAGAGTCGAGATCTGACGGACTCCGTTTGTCTTCATTTGACCAGGCGTCGGCCGCACGCACGGTAGCTTTTGTCGCCTCCGTTCCCCTTTTTGTTTCTTTCTCCATAATAAAATAAAAAAATAAATTTATTTCTTATTTTTATGAACAATTTCATGTCTTCAACACAAATTAATTATTATATTTATTTACGCATTAACTTAATTTATGTAACCAAATAATATTATTTAATTTGAAAAAGTGAGAACAGTATGAAAATAATAATTAAAAATTATTGGTTAATAAAAAAATATATAATTTTTTTTACATATGCTCAGATAAATTCTCCAAATTTTGTATAAAATGTTTTAAAAATAAAATATTTTATTTAATATAATTAAATAAATTAAAATAATTTTAACAATAATGTTAAGATTTATTGCAAAAATAAAATTTTTCAACATTAATTTCATACTTATGTTAAGATTTATCTTTTTTATTATTTTTATTTTTTAAAAATAATTAAATTTTATTTTTTAATTTTTTATTGATATGATAATAACTAATGTGATTATAACTAAATAATTATGGTACGTGACATTATTTTATCAAATATTTATGACACATTGGTTATTTAATTGAAAGTATTAACATGAATTATGAAATATTAAAATATTCAATTAAATAAAATTTTTTTATATTAATTTGATAAAAAGTATAATACATTAATCATTTGAAGAAAATATAAGTAAATCCACATCCAAGGGACCCACAGAATACTTGTCTTTCGGCCGCACAGTTTGTCGTCTCTCACGTCCACATCCACTGGATGTGTATTTTAGCATTTCTTCCTAGACGTTTTCTAACATGCGCATTTGGTTCCTATCCGTCATCCACTCCACACAGCAAACATACAAGCCTCTGTGTCTTATTGCAGTGAGATTTATCATTTTATCGTTTACTTTCTGTATTCCTTTTTCTTCAGTGATTATAAAAACAAAATCGTCTCTTTTCTTATGAACTTGATAATGAGTTGAACAGCAGAAAAAGAGAAAAAGAAGGGATCTTTGGAGTGTGAAAAAGATTAAGAAAAGAATAAAAGATTAAAATCTTTGTTGGGTTTTTTTAAATCTTGGTTTGTGATATGAATTGTGGGTTTTCGAGTTGTTCTTCAAAAGGATCTGTTTTAAGCTTTTCGGTATTGTTTTTGAGTCTTTAAAGTTGGGGAAATGGCTAGAAGCAATGAAGTCAACCTGAATGAGTGCAAGGTACAATCCTTTTTCCTTCTTTTCTCTTTCGTCAAATTGTTTTCTTTCTAGAATTGGGTTGTCAAAGATGGGTTTTTTTAATGGATTTTGATATATTTTCTTTTTTTTTTTGGTTAAATATAGTTAAGTTTTAGCTAATTTTTTGTTAGAGCTGTTAACCTTATCAAATCCTTCGTATTCAAGATTTTCTTTTTTAAAAAAAATTGGGGTTTGGGTTGTTTATTTTGCTGCTTTTGGGGTATGGAGCAATTAAGTTTGACTTTGTTTGAGCTTCAACATCATATACAAGTTTGCTGATTTTTTTTTATTTTTTTTTTGTGATTTAGATTTGGGACTCTTCTTTTTGTTTGTCCAAGAAAGTTGGAAATTTGTGATTTTAGTTCAGTCTTTAGAGTAGCATTACTCGAGGAGGTTTGATTGGATTTTAAAGATCATATAAGTTAGTGGAGGAGTCCTATATGTAGTTGTTGGTTTGGATCACCTTACTTTGGAGGATAACATTTGATTGAATACTTTGTGAAAATTATGGAGTTACATATCCAATTTTGCATTGCATCATAGCATATATTTCTTACTAATTTTTGTGTATGTTGACAAATTGAGTACAGTTAATTTCTGGGGTCTTTAGGGTTTCTGTTCATGTATTTGGTGACTTTAGGAAGTCAATTGGTAGTAAAAAATCTTCTTTGTTTAGCTTTGGTTTCATAAGGTCTTGATTGCTGCATCTATTTCTGCTGCACTTTGTTTCTTGGGAAGATGAAGCTCTTTTGATTTTTTTTTTCTTTACCTTTGTCTGTGAATAGATGGTGGTTCCCCTAAATACATGGGTCCTCATCTCCAATTTTAAGTTGGCTTACAATCTTCTTCGTCGACCTGATGGCACTTTCAATCGTCACTTGGCAGAGTTTCTTGATCGGAAAGTCCCTGCTAATGCAAATCCAGTTGATGGGGTTTTCTCTTTTGATGTTGTCATTGATCGTGGTACGAGCCTCCTTAGTCGGATTTATAGACCAGCAAATGCTGAAGAGCCTCAACCCAACATTGTTGAACTTGAGAAGCCTGTTACAGCTGAGGTTGTTCCTGTTATAATTTTCTTTCATGGTGGAAGCTTTGCACATTCATCGGCAAATAGTGCTATATATGACACTTTATGTCGCCGATTGGTAGGTATCTGTAAGGCTGTTGTGATCTCTGTCAATTATCGCCGTGCACCTGAAAATAGATATCCATGTGCTTATGATGATGGGTGGACTGCTCTTAAGTGGGTTAACTCTAGATCATGGCTTCAAAGTCAGAAAGATTCAAAGGTTCATATATATTTGGCTGGGGATAGCTCTGGTGGTAACATTGCACACCATGTTGCAGCACGAGCCATAGAATCAGGAATTGATGTATTGGGAAATATATTGCTCAATCCAATGTTTGGTGGACAAGAAAGAACTGAATCTGAAAAGAGTTTAGATGGGAAATATTTTGTTACTCTACTAGACCGTGACTGGTACTGGAGAGCTTTTCTACCTGAAGGAGAAGACAGAGACCATCCTGCATGTAATCCATTTGGTCCTAATGGTAGAAGTCTTGAAGGAATCAAATTTCCGAAGAGTCTAGTTGTGATTGCTGGTTTGGACCTTATTCAGGATTGGCAATTGGCTTATGTTGAAGGGCTCAAAAAGGCTGGCAAAGAGGTTAAACTTTTATATCTGGAACAGGCAACGATTGGTTTCTATTTGTTGCCGAATAACAATCACTTCCATACGGTTATGGGAGAAATAAGTAAATTTGTGAGTTCTGACTGATAGAATTAACTTTACCTACAGGCAGCCTTAAATGACAGGAGCTTGGCATTCCACTTGCAGTCATTAACAAGTTTGCAGTTTTGATTGTGTAGTGTATTACTACTTACTCTGGTATTAGTACCGCAATATTGCTAGTTGGCTCTCTCGGGCTCTGCTTGATTAAGCTCTTTTGGGTGTTAGAGCTTTTTGACTATGTTTAGCAGGCCACTAAATTTAAGAGTTACAGATTCTGGCTTCTTGCCACTAAGGAGAAGAAGACAGGAATATATGGATAATATATGGTACCTGATGAAGGGGTCGGTGCCTGACTAATGTTATATAAGGTAGTTTTAGAACATAGATTAGAAAGGTTCTATGGTGTTGTTATCCTGTATGTTTATACATATGTGTTTGTATATATAAAGATGTTTGCTTAAATCGAACTCCTCGGTTGTCTTTTAGTTTTTTCCCCACCCTTTTAAATTTGGGTATTCTGTTCGCTATATTCTTGTTTGACACCCGACTTGGCAAGTGTAAATACAACTATGTTTATAAGATTGAGAGTTTATGAGTTAAAAGATTTATAGCTTATGATGCCTCTTGTTTATATTTTGTCATAAACATGCAAACTTATGCAGGTAGAGAGTCTTCAACTGTTGATTCTGGTTTCCTGAAACCTTCTGATAGCAAGAATTTTCTTCCTGGATTTGTAGTTTTAAACCTAAAAAGACAAGAATAAACTCCCAACCTTATCTTTCAAGTTAAAACAATGGGGCAGTGCAGATTCCATGATAGTGAATTTTTGTTTGCTTGTTGGGGTAAAGGATCAGACTGTGGTTGGTGAGCTACATGCTTCTTCATGGGATGTGTATGTTCTACTCAGGGTTGCACAAACAATGACTTCACAGCTTTTTGTCTTATCTATATGTTTAATCCTAACAAATGCTGGATTAGCCTTTATTTTAGGTAGGAGGCTGCAGTCTAGGAATAGGAAAAGGGAACGTGTAGTTCTGGGGATACAAACTCCAGACCTACGGGATATCACCTTTTAAGGGTGACTACATGAACCAATTGAGTCAGATTCCAAGTTTAGTTGGATTAAGCCTTTGCTGAATGATTGATGATTGATTAGCACGAACACCTAAGAAAATATCTGCCAAATTTCACTCCCCAGAAGATAATTTTGAGACAACAGAATGAGGAATCAAAAACGTGCAACCATTTCATCCATTAAATCCAACCAGGGCAAAAGGGTATACAGAACACTTTGATAAATGATTGGAAGAAAATTCTGCTAGTCTATTTTTTGCCCATGGATTGAAACTGATTTTGATGCATTCTTGTCATTTCTTGAATGCTTGTAATGGAGGATTAATTTGAAGCTTGAAGCTGAAGAAACTACAGAAATTGGCTTGTTTTTAAAGGGGAAAACTTGTATCGTATGAATGGTGGTTGCAATTTGGATGCATATAAGGGGGACCACCTTGAGAAGCACATTCCGTCCTTTTTGTAAGCTGTTAGGATTTGCTTTCATAATGCTAAAAGAATATTAGCACAATGTTAAGGAACAGCTAAGCTTTTGATAAAGACACGAGCCTTGTCTAATTGACTTTTGATGAAGACTAGCTAGCATAAATTACTCGGCTGGAACTGAACTTGGTTTTGTTTTGTCCACAATTTGTTATATATTCTGCATTTTTCTTAATCTATTCTCATTTTTTCTCACAAATTCAACCATTTGCTCTGACTAGGATTGCATCTGCAGCATGTGAATTTCAGCTGATAAATTTTCAACTTGATTGTTGATGATTTAAGAGTTAAATCTTCAAGTTTTAGGATTTGAATCTCGAATGTATTAGATGTTACGGTTTCAACTAATTGAGATAACATTGGGTTAAAAACCCTTTTTTTTTTTTTTTCCAACTTGAAACATTTTAAAAACTTGCTCAACATTCAAAAGTTTTTTCACCTCTTTGCCTGGAAGATACCATACCATGCATCAGAATATAAAAATGTTAGATCTTCAGGATAATAATCTCCATTCCCATTCCCAAATTGCATTTTTCACTGTTTACATTGAGAGATTTACAGAACTATGGTTTTGAATCTGAAAAAAATGAAAGGATTGACTGCTGGATGATGTCCAGTCAAATTATTACAGAATTATGCCTTTATGATGGCCATAGAAGAAATTGAAATGAAAAGAAAAAAAAAAAAAACTATAGCAATGCACATGAATCAGATGGCATTTGTGGCAGTGGCTTTTGCAGGATAGCTGCATTTTCTCTCCTTTTTAAGATATAGATGGCATCTTTTGAGATTGCTGCAAAAAAAAAGGGTGTTGGATAAAATCAGAATTCCACCAACTTTCTATTTGAAATCAATGTTACTACCAGAACTTACCAACCATTTTTCAATATCCAGCTTATTCAAACAAATTTATATATATGATCGATTCGAACAGATTTATTTACGAGAAATACAACGTAACATCCGATGATATACATGACTTGTTTTGAATGGCTGTACTCAGTCCTGTATTTTATGCATCATTTGTTATAGCCAGAAAATGAAATAACAGCTACAATCTGCTCTGCAAATCATAAATTTGCATTTATTTTTAAACCAGATGGAATATTGGAATACGTGAAGCAATGTACAGAGGCAAGTTCATGAACCTTGAAATATTGGAATGAGAAGAAATGAAGTGAAAGATTGTTGTCTTCTATCTAATCAAATAGTTGAAACATCAGGGTTCAAAATTTGAGCACAATTAACAACTAAGTATTCTCTCCTTTGAGCATAAAAATGAATCCATAAAATCCTAACTATAGATTCAGCATCAATTCCCCAGAAAAAGTTTTAACTACTTAGATGAACTATGAATAAATAAGATAATGAGTGTCGAGGCAATGAATGTTTTGTTCAAGTAGTAAAAAGAATGTGTTACTTTTTTAATTATTTCGGTTCAAATTTCTTTGGTTGCTTAGCTTTGATATCAACTAACGAGGATCGGTTGCCTTTCTCGAGGAGATAATAAATATAAACAGTTCATAGTTCATACATAAAATTAAGAACTTCTTTGGTATGATGTTGAGTTAATATCTTAATTTTTATGAAATTATATTTTTTATATAATAACTTACTTTAAAAAATAAATTTTTATGAATTCATTAGATCTGATATAAATAAATTTATTTAAATTGGCTTGGAGAAATACTGAGCAAAATCTAAGAATCCGTTATAACTGCTGTGGCTTAAATTGTTCTTCCAGAGGGCGTTGAAACCTTATACAACAGTTCAATTAGAGATTGCTGTAATGGCCTAAAGAGAACTAGCATTACTAAATACCAAATTATGGGAACTCATTAAAATTGCTGCTTAATTTTATTCTCCCCATTTGAAACAAATTTATTCATATGATTTAGTTCATCTGTCTTGCCATATGATTGTCAAATACAATAATACTGGACCCTGGCGAAGAAGTTAATTAGAACAACTCATCAGGTTAGCAATTAGGTTGGTTTAAGGGCTGATGCTGGGGACCCTCTATGGCAAACTCAGTAGCCCATTCAAAGAGTGTTGGATTAAGACAATTCAAAGTTCAAGCCCTTAAAATGACAAAAAATGGACCCTCTCCTGGTGGACTGGACACAAAAAATGGCCCCAACCTCCATAGTTACAGGGGGCCTAAGTAGCTTGATGATTGCCTTGTAGCTCAGAGCTGTGCAGAGTATCCAAAAACTTGCTTGATCTTGTTTGTTCAAAGCTTGTATAAAAACAAACTCTTTTTCCCTGGAAAACCAAATGGATGATTGATGAAAAACCTGCAGAATTTCTGCAACAGCAAGGCATGTAAGGCATATAGTGGCATCAACTGACTTATAGAAACAGAATTTAAACAAAAAGAACTCACATTATAGTAATTCATTTTCATTTTTTTAATTACTTTTTCTTTTTCTTTGATGAATGAATAATGTTACACAGAATAGAAAGAACATGACCTCACAAATCATTTTTTGTATTTATCAATATCAATTTACAACATGTACATTAAGAGTGAAGAAACCAGAGATTTGCCCTGGTGGCACAGTGAGCCAGTAGTTATATTTTGCTTGAATCAATCAGGCAGTAGCCTTTCACTTCAATTAGTAACAAGGGAACCTGAAGTTGACAATACAAAAAGTACGTGAAGGTGGCAAGCGAGCATGAGGAAAGAAACACAAGATGACACAACTCAACCTGCCATAAAAGGAAATGATGATTTCAATAAGGTTTTAGTCTAAATAGATGATACAGATTTTCACGTTTCCAGATTAGTATGCATCATATGTATGCAATATGGACAATCAAATAACACCTTCAGATAGTTGCCCTCCTCAGAGAAGGCAAAAACAACCCCGAGCATTTCATCATTGTCACCTTCTTCCTCGGATTTTTCTCTATCACAACGACTGCTGCTGCGGTCAACATCGGTAACAACCTCTGCCGGTTCATTACATGCACTTAAGGGCAATGCTTTACAGTACTTCTAGAAAAAATTGGTCAAAATCCGGTGAGTCATTTACTTGTCCCTCATCTAACATGTTCATACTCAAGTCAGATCGGTTAGAACTTGTGCTTGAAACATCACTGGTTCCACTAGATAGAGAGCCACATGTTAATAATGGCAGACTATTAGTAGAGTTACTATCTTCACTGTAACGAACACCCATTTAGATTGATTAAAAGAAACTGAATCAGTATCTTTGTTAATGGTGCTCTGATTAAGCATGGGTGATGCCAAAACAGAGCTCTGTCCTTTTACAGATTGAATGCTAGATGGATAAGAATTCCTTGATGATCCTGGTAAAAACAGCAAGCATCAGATGAGTTAAATGAACATTCTATTTTGTCGAAAATTGTTTCTCGCAAGTTTCACTCCAAACCTGACATGTACATTACAAACCAAGAGAAGTAACTTGGATACATAACAAAGGAAACAACCTCATTTTGGAACACTGTTTCATATGAAATTTGGAAGAACTTGGAAATGGTTTTGAAGGAAGTAGGAACCAATGCTTCTAATGCCATCCAAAACAGTATCGAATGGTTTTACTTCCATGACACTTCCAGCACACCTTCATACTCAAGTTAAGTAGCTTTCAAGAAGCTAAAGCAATCTTCCGAAGTCGATTGATATTGTTTAGATGTTTCGTTGAGTCTTGTGCGTCCAAGAGTTCGTTCGAGTAATGATCTCCTCTGGAAGGATCTACAAGCTCTTTAATATCATTCTCATCAAGCAGAGGCTTTGCCTACAAGAATTAAAAGGGTAATTAGGTAAGGATACTTTACAATTATGATCATATGGTCGGAGTGATCAAATTCTTCATGAGAAAATGAACCCATATGACAACGCTTTGCTGTTGATCATCCAAAGCTTTCCGTCCTTTAATGAGCTCCAAAAGAAGAACTCCAAAAGTCATTCTTTTATTAATTTCAATGAAAAGTTAAGGCTGAAGTTATGCTGTATTGTTGTTCAATGTCTATAACTCAGAATTGCAATGTCCCTATTTCAATCTCTATCCACTTTCTTTGCGTTAGTAACAATTTTAACATTTTCTGAGATCAGTGTTTCAACAACATATTGTCAAAAGATCTCAAATGAAATGGTTGGGAAGGCCTCTTGTCCATTAAACTTTGAGATCCTCCGAGCTGCAAGGCCTACATTTGCTAGCATTACCAGACAATGGCAAAACATTCTTAAAGGAATCCATTTGGTTCATTCTAAGTATCTCAGGACTAATGAGTACTTTATTCCACCTCCTGCCACTTCTGAGGCATGCTGGGAGTCCTACCAGGAGTTATAGGTGAGTTTGTACATGATTTTGACATCGAAACTTCTTGTGGATACGATGCAGAA